GCATGCTTAGTGTGAGGGATTGTATTTGAGTCAATGAGTCAATGCAATCAACTGGTTTTCCTTAGATAGAAAACTTTGTATCAATTTGACTGTATGATCTGGTTGAACTGTAACTTGCCTTGAGATGACGTGTGTTGTGAATTTGGCGCTATATAAATAAACTGAATTGAATTGAATTGAATTGAATAGAACTAGTCATTTGTGCACATGGCCCATAGGCGCCTGTTTTGTTCAGAACTACTTTTTTAATAAATATATCTGAATAAAGAGATAATTGTCTTATGTAGGTTTAAGTTTAGTGCAGCACAATCTTTTTATTTTTGTTTGTAAAACATAACAGGAGATGCCTGCTGATTAAAGATAACATACCGTAGTTTCTTCAAAAAAAAGAAGACATTTTTGACAAAAAATGTGTTTATTTTATAAAAAAACACAGAAAGCTTAGATACAAAACAAGTGCTTGTATTTCCAAAAAAAAAAAAAAAGTCTATTGAGTTAGAAAATATCTGACATTGCATTGAAGAATTAAGAAAGAAAACCTTAAAATTTCACGAGTTAATCAATCCATCTTTCATCAACAGAAAAGGAGTCTGTGTTAGTCAAAGAAAATTAGTCAAAATGCAGATTTCATCTTGAGAAGAGACTGGTTCCGTTGTTTCCTTCTCAGCGAGAGCTTCTTTCTGTTCTTCAGCAGCTCAGACAAACTCCTTTGCTGGTGCTGTGGATTTAGGGGCAGAGTATTTCCCTCCGTTGTAGCGCTCCCTTCCTGCTGGGCACTGACAGCACAGGAGAGATCCGCCGAGCAGCAGCAGTCCTGCTGCTCCCCAGCCAACATACAAACAGGCACCAAGCTCTCTTCTTTGAGCATCTGGAATCAAAGGGCTGTAGAAGTCTTTGATGATGCTGTTGGCTGGCAGAGACACAGTCACAAGGCACAGAGCCCCGCTTAGGAGGAAGAAGATCCCTGCAGAGATGCACACCCTGGCTTTGGCTCTTTCATCCTCGATGCAGGTTGTGCATTTGCCGCCAACCACAGACAACAGAAGGCCAAACAGAGAGAAGAGGATAGCGATGATGATCATGGCCCGAGCTGCCTGGAGGTCCGGAGGCAGAGCCAGGAGGGAGTCGTAGACCTTGCACTGCATCTGACCTGTGCTCTGCACCACGCAGCTCATCCACAGGCCTTCCCATATGGTCTGGGCCACAACGATGTTGTTCCCAATAAAGGCAGAGACCTTCCAAAGGGGCAACGCACAGATCAGGATGTTTCCTAGCCACCCAAGCATAGCCAAAGCAACCCCAAGAATCTGCAGACCTAAAGATGCCATCTCTGTTGCTGTTAGTACTCGGTGTCTCTGTTCTTCGCCTGGCTCCCAACTGAGGTTCTGCTTGCTGCTAAGAACTGTTATGTGAGGCTGTCGGGGTGGGCTCTGGCTCCAGCATTCACATGCTTTGTGCTGAGAGGCGTTTCCCTCAAGAAGAAAAAAAAAGAACCCCTTTAGTTCAACCCCAAAAAGATCCGCTTGAAGAGGAAAAAGGAGCTACAGCCTGTATTAAAAAGAAGAAAAAAACATCACAAAAGATGATTAAGAGTTTAAAACATTCACCTATATGTTACTTGTGAAACAAATGTAAAAATGACGCGTTATTCTTAAAAATTCTAAAATGCAGTTTCCTTTTCCTGGGTTCTGTTATATTTCCAGAATAACATATATGGAAATATATTTCTTTCACCAAAATTATAAATTTTTTAAATACTTTGCAGCAGGTCATGACCAACATACCTAAGAGTTATTAATTAAAGGAGGTCAAAAGGAGTCATTACAGTTGCCTTTTGTGTCTCTGCTTCTTTCTGTATGGATGCTTTCTTTCTACTTGAACCCCAGTCGGCCTCAGCAGATGGCCGCTCACACCGAGCCTGGTTTTGCTGGAGGTTTCTTCCTGTTAAAAGGAAGATTTTCCTCTCCACTGTCACTACAAGCATTCTTAGTGTGAGAGATTGCAGAAGAGTCAATGAGTCGATGCAATCCACTGGTTTTCCTTAGATAGAAAACTTTTAATCAATTTGACTGCATGATCTGGTGAACTGTAAAGTGCTTTGAGTTGAAATGTGTTGTGAATTGGTGCTATATAAATAAACTGAATTGAATTGAAGGATAAAAATGTTTAATTGCTAATGAATTTGATAAGAATGGCTCACAGCTAATGACAACCAAAAAGTCAGTTTTCCAGTTCATTTGAACATTCCACAAGACAGAGAAAAAGTTGTATTTTTAAGCACAAAGATGTCAGGTTTTGACTTACACAATCATTGCTAGAGTGGGAGTTGGGAAATGCTTTCCTTGGCATACTGCAGTTTAACCAAAGGGGAGAAAATAAAGGAACACAAGCTGGAGTGGATTGCGCAGCCAGCTATAGAGTTTTTGGTTAATATTTCTATGACTGCAGCTCAGTGGCTGTAGTGTTACGAAACACAGATGTGTCCAGTAAATATAAAACATTGCTTGTAGTTATGTGACCTTTGGACCACAGAAAAGTTCAGCAGTGTCCTTCTTATGTAAAGGGAAAAAAAGAACTTGAGTGTTGCTCATTCAAACTCTCCTCCTTGGATAAAAGGACTTCTTACATCAAAGCTTTATGAGGTTTTGTTCAGATAAAGATGAGAGAAACCAGAGCGGTGCCGTTCAGAGACCACTGAAGGGGCAGATGCTATAGATTTTCCTACAGCTTTAACAGTGATGTATTAAAAAGAGTCAATTCTAGAGAAAACTAGAATATAAAAAACATCAAATGTGTTAAATGTTTTCTTGGAATCAAAGTTTTACTGTCTTTCATTACAGGGAACCATTGAGATTTTCAAACCTACACATGAACAAAACATTCAAAGTAGACAGTCCAACCTAGAGACATATTACATTTTTACACAGTTGCTCTGTTAATAATACAAGCAAGAAAACAACAACCTTTCAATGTACTAGAATAACAAAAGTAGCAAAAAAGGTAACCGTTCCTCTGTTTTTGCATTCCTGAACTGCTAGTAAAGATGGTCCATTTAGAATTTAAACCAGGGAGGTTAAATCTAATATTTACATAAGAAAACATAAAGTTGCCAAAACCATAGATAAAACCTCTTCTATTTGCCTGAACAGTCTTTTCTTTCCCCCTTATTCTCTTCTCACAGTCTCAGCCTTCTTATGGTAGCTGGGGCTCAGTCGCTTTTATCCGTCTCCACCTCCAGAATTTCCCCATTGTGGGACAATAAAGGGATTCTATATTCTTCTCTCCTCAGCAGTTATTTTCCTTCTTTTTATCAAGGAGGAAGAAATTATCCATTAATCAATATCTGTTTCACTACAGAACATCTTCACATAATAACCTAAACTACCTGCTTGCAATATATAGGTGAAGGTTCTCAGTTATCCAGGTCATAGTCATAAAAAAAAAATATTAAAAACAAACCACTGGACTTGGTTTGCAAGTTTGAAGCATTTTGCTTCCCATCCAGGAAGCTTTTTCAATTCAAAATGTCAGGAATAACATTGAGTTTTTGCTGCTTGCAAGATTCTACATAATTTCACCTTCAAACAGCTCCATGCTGACTATAAACGTACTGTGTTTCTATATTATTTATTTTACTTTCTAACTAAACTAGTTAACAATCCACTAACCTTTGCACAGCCAAATACTCCCAAAAGCCTGTAAGGGCTGATTCATCAGGATTTTTAAGGTTTTTCCAAATTTCAAGCTCCATAAAACAGTAAGCTTTGATTCGTTAATCCACTCAGATATGTTATTTATTCTGAATAATATCAGGATCTGAATTATATATTTTAAAATTCTTATTTAAATCCATTAAAAAAAACTAAATTAAACAAAGAACCCAGACCACTGCTTATTATTCTCATCCTTCCTGGTTTTGTATTTACCATGCTGCATCGGCCTCCATGTCTGCTACAGAGACAGAGAAGGTCACATCATTCAAACAGTTTGCAGTTCCACAGAATCACGCCATTCAGTTTCATTATATAAATACACTTAGACATATTATTTAATTAATGCACTCTCATTAAATGTCTTAACAGAATCTAAAAATGGATAAAATCCTATTTTAGAAATGAAATTAAAACATACAATCCTACATTATTAATGTAGGGTACAAAGTTTTATGAAGAAATGCGTGAAATCATCACATATCTTCTAGCAGTGTTGATTCTAGTTAGCTTAGTTTATTAGCTTTCTAGACAGTAAAATAACCTTCCCTCAACTATTATCTCCTTTGCTCATCACCACTCAGCTCTGACTGATCCTCCGGTGAAAACAGAAACAATGCAAAGTTTCTTTGTCCTCTGACAGGTGCACATATCTCCGAATATAAAATTTTATTCATTGATCAACAGCTTTTCTGACTGGACTTTTCTTCTGGAATAAAAGCGACTCATGCTGGGCTCCACAATCTGCCTGCATAGGACTGCACGGGTCCAATTCTTAAATCCCTCACAGAGGCAAAAGTTAAAAAGGTAAATTGGTGGCATTTGTCATGTTATTTCTTTTTTTCCACACACACAAAAAATAACATGGCAGGCACTCCAGCCCCCTCCAGACGGGCCTGTACCCGAGCCCTTAATTGAAGGCCTGATTGCCACAAAGCATTGATGGAGCTGTGATCAATGCAGGGGCATCATTTAATAATCTGAACAGTAAAAGAATTTTTAAAAATATGTGATAACTGGCCTAATATAATATATAGAGCTTCTGAGAAAATAGATTTTAAAATTGAACTGTATCACTCTGAACTATGGGGAATAATATACAAGTTCCACTATCTAAACAGAATTAAAATAATGTTTGTTGATACTCTTTATCTAATTCAATTTACTTGCTTGTACTTATTTTAGTTTATATTTAAATTTGCAGCTTCAAATTCTCATTTTGTGCACGGTATATTAATTATTGCAAACCCTTCCTTCTTAATAAACAAAAAAATAAAGAAATGGTTGTTCTGGTTGTTTAAAGCAGCTATTTTTTTCCCAGCTAAATGTAGCGAGTAAAATAATGTTTAAGAAATATTTTTAAACACACAACACTATATTGTTGTACATTTTAAAATCCTTTTACCTGCAGATAAAAGCAGATGTGAGCCGGTAGCATGAAAACAAGCTAACCCCACCAGCCTGACAGTAGAAGCTCTCTGACTGATGTGCTCAGGTGGAACCACTCTGCCTGATTACTTCATTCTTCTTCATCTTCATTAAAATCTTTAGCAGTTGGCAAACAACAAATAGATGCTTTTCCTCTACTGGAGTGTGCCCGGAATGACTTTCAGGAATTAAATTCTGTTATACAATTGTGTTATTTTCACATAGCAAAATATTATCCTGTAAACGTTATTTCTGTATCCATTCTAAATAATTCAAATAGATCTATTTAATCTTTATCTTTATCTTATTTTTAATTAATTGCTGTTTATCTCCCTAATATTTATTACTGTACAAAATGACAGGTTCAATTGTTTCATCTACTCCACATATTTCCCATTCTTATGTTTCCCTAATATAAACAGAGCACTATTTAATCCAGTATGCAGAAATCTCAAACGAGAAATAACTGTTTCTTCTCTTCTTGTGCTTCCTGTTCTTCTCATTTCTCCAGTTTTCTTTTTTTTTAAAAACAGCATCCTCTTTTTTCTTTTCTTCCATTCTCTTCGCCGTTTATCCTTAACTTTTTGCTTAATTAACATTTTAACTTCTGATTTACTAAAATTAACAATTCAATACACTGTTTGTCTAACACACTGCAAAAACGATCTAGAATTAAGTAAAAATTTCTTAAATTAAGTGTATTCACCCGAAATATGAGTAGGTAAATGAGATAGTTTGCCAATGGAATGGGTAATTTTACTCTTAAAATAAGGTAATTAGTTAATATGCACTTGAAATAAGACAATGCAATTGTGTTTTCTTATTTTAAGTGTAAATTGTCTTGTTCCATTGGCAAAATGTCTCTTTTACCTCCTCAATCCAAGAACAAATGCACTTATTTTAAGAAAAAAATGACTTATCTAGATTTAGATTTTTTTGCAGTGCAGCTTCCTTAGTTGCCCTGTATTCCAGTTAATTTCCTTTAACTCCACAATGCGCTGGTTTCCATACAAATCATCAAACCCATCATATTTGTTCCATATGGTGTCTGTTGAATTTCAATTAAAATATCTTGTCTGATTTCTGCGAACTCATTAAAGATGAACTAGAATCTGAACATATGACTGATCTTAATGGCTTTACTTCTTCAACACAATGAATAGCTAATAGTATTGCAATCATCTCTAAACTGAAAGAACATCACTTACTCTTTTCCTAATTCTAACATTGAATTCTGGTAATATGAAAGCTACTCCTTACTTATTTAGTATATTTTTGAAAGTATCTGTATACATTTTTACATACCTATAATATTTATTAACATAATCCTGTATTATGTATGACTTTAGAGAGAATTCCTTATCTTTTCTCCTGTTCAACAAAGTAAAATCTGCATAGACATCAGGAATAATCCAAGGCAGTATTATTGATAATGGAAATGTTTGGCTTATACTAAACTGATCTATTTTGAATTCTGTTATTTTATTATTCACAATCCAACCAAAACTTCTAATTTGTCTTATTTTTTTTTTTCTCAAAAGGGTTTTATTGTTTGATGAGTAGGATGATCCTGTTTATCGCCTTTTAAGTTAGCCAAATAATTTAATGTTAATTGTTCTTTTCTAAATGCAAGGCTCCACTTTCTACTTATGATGCTGCTGTTAAAGTAGTTTTAATTGCCCCTATACATAACCAATGCACTTAGTACTGAATGCAATCTAGTTTTTCTAGATTTGTCTCTGCTGCTGAATTGTAAACATTGCCTCCACACTGATTCCCTTATTGAATGATCTCAGGTGTTTTCACTTTGAGCAGCTCTCAACAGCCAATCAGATAGCCCTCTATGTGGGTACAAAAAGCTGCAGGTGAGTGCTGATTGCATTGTCCATTGCAGGTGCAGCTGAGTTGACTTTGAACCTTTGCAACTGAAGGAAACATGACATCTGCTGGCTTTCAGATCCTTGGCGTCCTCCTGGCAAGTATTGGCTTTATTGGCGATATCATCATCTGTGCCCTGCCGATGTGGAAAGTATCTGCCTTCATCGGGAACAACATTGTGACAGCCCAGATCTTCTGGGAGGGCCTGTGGATGAACTGTGTGAAGCAGAGCACCGGACAAATGCAGTGCAAGGTTTATGACTCTATGCTGGCTTTGCCTCAAGACCTGCAAGCTGCCCGCGCCCTGGTTGTGATCTCAATCCTCGTTGCTTTCCTTGGTATCCTGCTTGCCATTGTGGGAGGAAAGTGCACCAACTGCATTGAAGATGAACTGTCAAAGAGCCGGGTAGCCATTGCTGCAGGTGTCTTCTTCATTGTTGGAGGTATCCTGTGCCTTATTCCAGTATCCTGGTCAGCCAACACAATCATCAGGACCTTCTACAACCCAGTCATGATTGACGCCCAGAAGAGGGAGCTCGGTGCGGCTCTGTTCATTGGCTGGGGAGCAGCAGGCCTCCTGATCATCGGAGGGGCTCTTCTCTGCTGTCAGTGCCGCCAGCATAAGGATGGACGCTACTCTGTTAAATATTCTGCCCCACGCTCAGCAGCCAGTGCGGGAGCCTATGTCTGAAATGCCCTGACAGGTTGCACTTCTACTGTTTGTAGAAACTGGACTAAACCTCAAACCAGAGTTTTTAAAATCTTCAACTTGCTGATTTTTAATAAAACCTTTTTATCTCATACATTGGGTTTCCTTTTTAACTTGTAAGTCTGTAAGGGGTTTTGGCCACTTTACAGCAAAAAAAAATTGCTGTAGATCCAACCTCATCCAAAAGCCTTTTGAGTCTTGAGCAGTTTGAGATCTTGCAGGTTACTTTTGACATGTCCTTGGCTAGCTCTCTGACAACCATGTCACTTTGGGGTGTTTTTGTTCTATGCTGCAATCGGGGAGTTCTGCTCTAGGGTCTTCTGTGAATAGCCAACCATAACACTGTTGGCCTTTCTGAGCAAAAAACAAAACAAATGTTCAGGCTGAACTAGGATGCCTGGCTTGCATCTACAAGATTTCTAAAGTAACCTCTTGTTACTGTTCTTTAGCCAAAAAAGTCAAAGGCAGCAGGCACTGTTAATTTCAAAAAGCTTTAAAAGTATGTAACTGGTGTGATGTATTTTCCTCACCCCATGTACTTTAGGAAAAATGCTTTGAAAACTGGATCACACAATATGGCTCAGCTTAAGTGGAAACCTGCAGGCAACTGATGCTGCAAAGGGGGGGAAAAAAGAGAACTTGAGGAAATGAACTCTTTAAATTGAGAATTTGTAATTGCTATAATGGTTTTGGTTTATGTATCTTAAAATTCCAGTACAGTTACTAAATGTAGCTGCATCAAAGCCAATAAGGGCTAGAAAGTAAACTCATTTAAAACAATTTGTGCTGGCTCCCTGTGTTTGCATTAAAAATGTGTTTGGTTTTTTTTTGGTACAATGTCTGGATTTTAAACCCCTCAATCTCTTTGTAATGTATGTTCCCAGATTTTGGAAACACTCAAATCACAGTTTATATTCAAAAGACTTGAATGAGAAGTCTAAATGCAGACATTGTTGGTCATGGTTTAAAAGAGTAAGAAAATTAGTCGGATGTTGAACTTTTAACAGAAGGCCTTCGTATTTTGAATTTTCAAAAAACTGTTAGTGAAATAGACAAAGACCAACAGCTGGTATTAGAATTGTACTCAGATTATTTAATTGAAACCAGCAGTTTTTCAGGAGTAACTTTAACGTAAAAGACCTGTATCACAACCCCACCAGTAAAATATTTGGTCAAGACATGTTATGGCAAATATTTCCTTTACAACTTTACATAAGCAGTTACTTAGTTTAAATTTGGGATTATTTATGTTCCAACAGAAATGTGCAAAAAGTAAGGTCCATAATGACAGGTTAGTGAGTGGTGAGGCATTTTACTGACAATCTAAAAAACCTTTAGAACAAATTACACCAGTCTCCCAGCCAGGCTTTCTTGTCCAATATCAGTGTCTTAAATGTTCTTGGATACCAAACCTTTCAAAACCCTCCAGACGAACTCATAAAGTTGAGGAGGGAAGTGAATCAAATATTATGGATTTAAAAAATAACTTTCTTTTGGCAAAATTTGAATTTCTTCAGTAAATATAACTACGGTAGTTCAATGCTGGGGTCCTTACACTTGCTTCCTGTAAAAGGGTTGAATGTGCCATGATTTTCTCATATAGAGCTTACTGAAAATCTTTGCTGCTAAATCACAGGCTGCTTCAGAACTGAAGTTTTAGCCTTTAGTTTTCAGGACTCTATCCTGTAAAAAGCTCCAAATTTGAAAGCCAAACATTTGACTGGTTTTTAAAACTAAAATAAAAACCTACCTATTCAGAGGAGCATTATTGAAAACCTTTTTTATGCTTTTATTTTTATTTTTATTTTTTATTTAACATCTAACTACAAAGTGATTTCCAAGCGCTCTATTGTTGAGCCATGGTTCATAAGATCTCCCTCTCAGTCCCTTTAGAGTTTATGAATATCTATATATATATGGT